ATCTCGCCCGTGGAATGCGTTAAGGCGGCTACAGACACACATGCAAGCTTGTCCAGCAAGCTTGTTCAATCTTTTTGTGATTATACAAGCGGCATGAGGAAGAGGATTGAAAAGATTTTAATTATGCATGCTTGAATTAAGCGCGCTTGCGCAAGCAAAATGGTACGTGTATACCCAAGATTTTTAAGCTTGACCAAGTTGGCGTCCATTTTGTTGCTTTGTGAGGTAGCATTTGAGTAATTTTCGTCATGGCTAGTGATCGCTAAAAGGTTAACCATGAGTCATTGGAAGAGTATTCAAGAATACCAAATCACGTTAAATCCAAAGATTATCATAACAAAGCAAAGAGAGATGCAGCGTACAAAATATTAGAAAAATATAGGATAATTGACTTTAATGCCGACAAGGATGAAGTTATTAAAAAAATAATCTCCTTCCGGGATGATTACAGAAGAGAAAAGAAAAAAAATGAAGATGAAAAACTCACTAATAGTTAAATATTTCAGCTCTTCATAACTCCTTTCAGTTACAAGAAATATTTTACGTGTGTTATGGCTTCTCTTATGATCGTATCCTGCTTTTGAATCAAATGTGATACAAGAGACAGAATGTTTAAATACGTCTGTTCATCCATTCTAAGATAATTTTGGGTTACAAACTAGGATATATTTTCAGTTCACTTAGTAAGCTAATGTAAGAATAGATGTTCCTCTTCCATGAATTATCAGAAATTCTTTCCAAGTTATCGAGTTCTTTAATAGAACTGTCTTTCTACATAATTATGTTCTCGTCGGTCTAGATGTGGTCTCCCTCTTCAGTAATGTTTACTTAAATGCAGTTGTATGGTCTATTCATAAACACTGGGATACAATTTCTGCAATGTCTATTTCTGCATTGTTTCTGGTATATTTTTTAGAGATGATAGAGTTCTTGTTTAATTCCACTTGTTTTTATTTTAAGAACAAATTTTATAAACAAATATTTGGCACTATTATGGGAGTCAGTATCTCTCCAATTCTGGCTACATATGTAATGGACGATCTGTTGGCTATTGTTCTCCAGGTTGTTCCTTTTACCGTTGCTTTTATTAAACAGTATGTTCATGACATTATTATGTCCTGTTCACTAGGTTTAGAGACTGAGCTCTTAGACATTTTCAATAGCTACGTACCCCACATTGAATTTACTCTCGAAAAAGAGGATCACAACCAATCTGTTTCTTTTCTTGGCACAATCTTCACCAGAGAACTGGATAACATCATTACAATTGATTGCTATGAAAAAAATGTAACTCTGGAAGATACCTCAACTACCATTTTTACCACAAGTCAAGCATGTAAATTAATCTAGTGAAATAAACGACCACAAGAGTTTGTAAACTGGCTGACCCTGTTTTAAGAAAGAAGAAACTCAAAATCCTTTTACAATTGTTCCTAGATAACTCTTAGGCCGAATCCTTCCTCGGATTACCCTTAGCGAGTGTCCAACAGCACAATATATATGGCGCAATAGCATCAAAAGGGTTGATATAAAAATCAAGATCAGAAGTTCATTTATTGTAGTAGAAGTATTTATTATTTAGAACGAGAATTTTTGCATGATCTGTAATGGAGCCAATTATGCAGCTCGAGCGTTCTGGGAAGATTATATATCATTCTTAGAATACAAAATATTTTAATATAGAAATATGCATTATTATATCATTGATAAAGCAAGCTAAATTCTTTCATATCTTATCAGGTTTGCGATTCATTCATTTTTTACTACACGGAGCCTGAAACTATTTAATGCAACGTTTCATTCATATTTAGTAAGTAGTTTAAAATTTTATCGTACATAATAGTCATGATTATTTTGTTTTATTTACTTTATTTAGCGTCTGCCTATTTAATATTTAACATATTACAATTACCCATCTGAATCATTTAAATATTTCATCGACCCTGTTATAGCACAGCCAAAGTCCAGCATTATTTTATGATATTTCCTCAAAGCGTATTTTACAATCATGTGATGGATAGTTTATCTCTAAGTACCACAGTTACACTCTTTGTTTTTCGTTTGTGAAGGGAGTCTGAACTTGATATTGCCATGTCAAGATCGTATTATGTTAAGGGTTGACTGTTGACTGGGAAGTCAAAACCTGGTGGAGTCTCTGTGATGCATGGTATATTAATTATTTTTTTAGGCTGCGGTCTACGTTCAGCAGTGGACAAATATAGGCTAGTTGATGAATTATTTTTTGCAATTTTCTGAGTGAAGCATGTTGATGGCGGAAATATGGTGGAAGTATTATGGTTTAGCAGCAATTCTGTTGGTGTAGACCTGATCGTTCCAATTATTAGACGGATTGTGGTATCAAGTTGGCTCAGAGGCCAACTGTCGTGGCCAAGCATACGATAATGGCGCAAATATCTTCTTCTTGATGTGCCTATCCGTTACGAATGTTGGGGATCATCATGGCAATATTTATCTTATCTGCAGCAGCGCGGAAAAGCACAGATTATCTTTATCTTATCTGCACAGATGTTGAATTGAACCAGATTCTGAGGTTCTTTAACCAAGATGTTCTTCGTCTTCCTGGACCTCGCTTTCCAAATATTTTTCCTTGCAGGATGGCTTGAAGGAGAGCATATCTAGATTAATTTCGCATAATATGTCCGAAGAATTGTAACTTTCGAGATTTAATGGTGGTCAGTACCTCTCGGTTCTTATTCATTCTTCTGAGGACCTCCTCATTTGTGACTCGGTCAGTCCACGGGATCTTAAGTATTCTCCGATATAGCCACATCTCAAATGCTTCCAGTTTTTTGCACATATCTTCGTTCAAGGTCCACGATTCAACACCATAAAAAAGGACAGAGAAGACGTAGCATCGCAGCATTCTTACTTTTGTATCAAGAGAGAGGTTGTGACTTTTGAAGAAGGCCCCCATCCGATTGAAGGTGGATCTAGCTTTTGCAATGCGTGCTATAATTACCTGGTTGTTGGCCCTTTCTTCACTTATTATGGTGTATTATTGTAGTTTGTCAATCTTTCTACAGGAGATTGGTTGGCGTAGAGTTAACCTTCTGTTATCCTATTATATATCTGCTAATTATCATAAGCTTTGTCTTCTTAACGTTTATATTGAGTCCATATTGTTGACTGTAATACGTGATTTTGTTCATAAGAACTTGTAGGTCTTCTAAGTTGTCCGCAAATACTATGGTGTCATCTGCAGATCTGATGTTGTTTAGCCGGTAACTATTTATTAGAATACCTTTTTCAGTTTCGTGCAAAGCTTCAATAAATATTCTTTCAGAGTACAGATTGAAGATTATAGGACACAAAATACAGCCCCAGTAAATATTTCTAATTATTTTCAGTTCTTGGTTGCTAATTCCTGCTTCTTTTAGTATTTGCATCATCTTGGCGTGCTGTACTCGATCAAAGGCTTTCTCGTAATCAACCACATATCCGTATACGTCGCAGTTGACGTCTCTGCATCTCTGGAATAAGATTTATACTGAGAACAAAGCCTCTCTGGTACCAACAGCATTTGTGAACCCGAACTGGTTGGGGGAAATTTGACTTTCACAGAGTTTATAAATTAATTTTAGGACCAATTTTAGGAGATGACTCATGAGGCTTATAGTATGGTAGTCTTCACATTTTTTGGCTACTAGTTTTTTTTGAAAGTGCAATAAACTCAGATTTCAGCCATTCTGTTAGTATTTCTCCAGAGTTGTATATATGTTGTTGAATCTCTTTGCGATTATTGCTATTCGTTGTCCATTAGTTTGAGTAGTTCTGCTTGTATATTATCAGGGCCTATCGCTTTGCCATCCTTTAACTGTGTTATGGCGCAAATATGGTAGGCATAAATAGTGGAGTCAAAACTTGAATATTAAATATGAATCCTAGGAAATTTTTTACACCTTGCGGTTGTCATATTTGGAATCTGCTGTTGGTAGACGCTGCTAATTTTTCGGTTATAGCAAAAACATTTTTTAGTTTTATCCAAAAAATATTTTTGCTGTTTTCAGGTTCCAGCTAACGCTGGAAATTGGACAAAAATAAATTAAAACTTACCATGTGAAGCCTTTATCGGACACGAGATGGGAAAGCAGAATCGAGGCAGTTAAGTCCATACTATTTCAATTTGATCATGTTGTAAGATGCCTAGAAAGTTTAAAAAATCAAATGGATCAATCACTCAAGACACTCTCAGTGATTTTGATTTAGTATTAAATGAAATGCTTAGTTTAAAATTTGTAATATATTCACATGTATGGTATGAATTGTTACCGCGTGTTAATGAAAAATGTTTGTCTGATGCTCAACAATTTATTGACAGAGGCTGTTATCATCTGCTGAACTAATTTAAAAAGAAAATAGTAACGAAAAAATATTGGTCTTTGATTATGAGAGCGAGGATCACCTATACAGTGTCCCAAAAGCCGGTATAAAGCAAATTTTTTAACACTATGCTTGATTAATCTATTTATTATTTGATTAGCTATGTACAGACTAAATTACATCGATGAGGGTGCGAAGCCCTGAGGGACGCTGTTTTTTGCTACACGAAAGTTTCTGCTGCATTTTACTTAAAAATCGAGCGGTCATTTTGCAGATAATTATTTTGAGAAACCGATAGAATAGACCATCTTTACAGACCGCATCACACACAGTCAATAAATAACTGAATATCGGTTTTAAGTCATCTTTGGTAACCTGCCTCTATGTTCGTAGTTATAGAAAACTCTCGGTCAGTTAGCTTTTGTCTTTTTGGCTTAGTTATTACATGATTTAATGATCCCTTTTTTAATACTCACCACACACTACAATTTACCTAACCAATTTTGTTTTATGTTTACCAATATTTACAGCAACATTTTTCAGGTTTAAAAGTTATACCAAATAATTATAAAAGAGTTTTTCTGGTCAATTATAGTTGATTTTAAGTTGAATTTTGGCATTAAATAAATCATTAATCGATAATAAGTTTTTCTTTTTAGGCTCAGATTTAATCGACCAAAACGACTTCCTTTCTTTCGTTAAACAAATTCAAAAAGCATGTCCAGGAGACGTAGACGAGGATATAGCTAGTGACTTAAAAGCTGCCTTCCAAGTTTTTGATTTGGACGGAGATGGTTATATTACAAAAGAGGAGTTAAAAACAGCTATGGAAATGATCGGGGAGGCTGTTACGGATCAACAATTGGAGCAGGTTATTCGACTAGCTGATACTGATAAGGACGGAAGGATAAATTATGAAGGTATGCCAAATTTATTTTTAGTATTTATTGTGATATGTTGTTCTTTTTAAACATTTCAATTAGATCTTTTAGAAATGAATAATTTGTATTTAATAATGAATAAGAAAAGTATGTAAAAAAACGATAACTTTTTAAAACTCTGTAACAAAATTACAACAATACTTTTTAGTTCTGCTAATATTATTATTTTAAACTATAATAATTAAAATGAATGTATTATAAATAAGTTATTATAAATATAATAACTAATTGGATTATTAAAACTTCTCGTCTTCCTCTTTTTCTTCTTTCATCATCATCATCATCATTATCACTGGCTCGACAACCCCGTTTTAGGTCTTGGCCTGTTCCAGATTTTTTCTTCATTCTGATCTGTTTTGTGCTTTTTTCTCCAGTTTTTTATTTTTATGGTGCCAAAATTTACAGTTATAGTCTTGGGTCAGAAGAGCGTCAGAAAATCAATAGATATGAGGTGTGGTGTTGGAAAAGAATGCTCCCAATACCCTGAACTGCTCATCATGTCAACATGACCATGTCTTAAACTAACTTAAAATTAAGATAGTCCTTTCAGTCCTTTGTGAAACGCTCCAGGGAGGAGAGCAAAGGGGCGCTGAATTGATCAAACCTGACATTCAACGGGCGAAACACTTGGGGCAGCTGAAGAAAAAAACCAATGGAAAGGTCTAGTGGACTATATTAGGAGAAATCATAATCATCAGTAATGGATTGACAAAAAGATAGTTGTTTATATTTTAGTTCGTCGAATGTAGATGACTCATATGTAGTTATGTTCATTACATAGTAGGAAACATGAACAATGAGGATTCGGTAGATTATATTATATTGGCGACTAGTAATTCAAGAGAAAAGAAAGACCTCAGTTCAGACGAAAGAATAATCCTGATCAAGCTCGTATAAGATGAATATCGACAGCGCTAGATAGAGATCAGCGGAAGAGACAATGAGAGTATAAAATGTCCAAAAATGGATACAACAAGACAATATGGATAGATAGAATAACCATAATAATGACATATGAAATTTCAATGTAACTTTAATTTACTCATAGCCTTACAATGTAATAGTGATATCTACCGTAATTACTAGTAAATAGTTCATATTAATAATACTTAGTATCTTTGTGCTGACTACATTGGTTTTTCGTAAACTTTGCACAGTGACTAACAACTCCATTAATATAATAGAAAATGAATTGTGTCGAGCAATATTTTTATTCTTTTTATCTTTAATTAGTTTGTTGTAAACACTAGTTATGTCTATAATATTACCCTACATATTAATTAATATTCATAACGAGACATATTCAGACTGCAATAGTCTACAGGACATAAGTTCCAAGAAACAATTGCTCATTCTTTTTTTATTTTGATCTCCCACTTAGATAATAGAAAACAGATCAATCAGTTTAAAAATTATTTAATAACTAAAAAAATTTTTACGAATGAATCCCACTATTTTTGGTGAATCATTGGATATAGTACCAAATGCGGAGGTGTCTTGCCGCTCAACATTGAGTATTCACCACATCGGCTGATTGGCATTAAAGTAAATAGTAATGTTTTTATTTAGTTATCCACGGAATGTACCCATTATAAAATATAATTTCAAAATTAACATTAACCTACCAACAAGATCATATATACTAGATTTGTTATTACCTAGACTTAAACTCTAGGTAATAACAAATCAAATGGCAAAGTCAACATTGACAATGTTTAAGAACTTGTTTTAAAGTTCTTTCTAAAGTTTTTGTTTAAATTTGAAGGTATGAGAACGATTCACATACAATTCACTGAAACGCCATCTCCAGGTGAGTAGTTTCTATATGAATTAGCAAAGGGAAGATTAAGGTCGCCAAACAAGAAAATTGGCATATTTTGTTTAGAGTTTCTGATCGTTTGCACTGACGAGCAGTAGTCCCAAAGTCTGGCGACAAGACAAAGTCGTTGCGTTACTTAAACCTGGCAAAGATCTCAACAACCCCAAAAACTATCGGCCAATATCTTTGCTCTGAAACCTATTCAAAATACTTGAGCACACGTAATAAATCTACCTAATTACTAAATCTTGCCCACCACAAAAAAAAACTGGTATGAAAAGCGGGGAAGCATTTGTAGATCTCACTGGCTCTTATATGACATTAGATAGTAAACTAGTCACATTTGTCTTGCTGGCTGGGAATATAACATAGAAACTCATATCACATTCGTGAATTTCACGAAAGCTGTCCATAGAGTAAAAGAAATAAACTTTGGGAAATATTAGAAAATAAAGGCTTCCCAAACCATCTAATCAATATTGGTAACAGTTTATGTTTAAGGATGGTGCATATCTCTAATACTTTTTACTATATATCTAGGTAACTTGATTAGAGCATGGAAAACAACAGCACCCAAGGGAATGAGTCTACATTACAAAGAACCACAATTAAAACACTGTTTTTCAATGATAATCAAGCAGTTCTTGTAACATCCTTTGTGAAACCTGTGAAATTTACAAAACCAAAACAAAAGGCATGACCTTTCATGACAAGGAAACTATATAAGATCTAAAAATCTGTATTGATAATACCAGCCTGGAACAAATCAATCATTTTAAATACTTAGGATGTGACATATCATACGAATTTGAATATGATATATAAAATAAGCTAGCAACGTTCAATATAATGTGCGGCACAATAAGAAGAACGTTAGGTAATAAATTCAGAAAAGATATCCAATTAAAGTTTTATAAGACAATGGCCATACCAACCCTCTTGTGTGCTTGCGAGACGTAGGTAATAAAATAGAAAGATATGTCACGAATCAAGACAGCCGAAATGAAGTCTCTAAAAAGCATCAAGGGATGTACAAAATTAGATCAAATAAGAAACACAAATCAGAAAAGAACTCGGCATATTTTCAACAAAAAAAGTGGTATCCACCACAACTGTAACAATTGGTATTCCCATGTAGATAGAATGAGTGACGGCCGCATACCAAAAATAGCTATAAAATACCACCCACGAGAAGGGCGCTCCATAGGATGCCGAAAAGAGAGATAGTTAAGCCGGAAGAGGTCATAAGACTAAATCTGTGAAGAAGATGATGACGACAACTACTTATAGAAAAACTGGTGATTTTGCCCATCACGTGAGACGGAAGATCCTATCTATACTCACTCATTACACTCATAACACCACACATTTAAGTTCTTCAAAATCTAAAAAATCTTATGTATTTTTCTTTAAAAATTGTGTTTAATGATTTTAGTAATTTGTAAAAATGTGATAAATGTTATATCGAATTTATTCATAATTTACATTTTCAGTATTATCTTAGATTTATGTTTAATAACTTCATTTTGATTATGATTATATTTAATTTTATTTAGTTATTTCTATTTATCTTTTTTATTTTTATTTTATTCCATTTTTCATTTCATTTCATGTTTTAATTTAAGTTAATTTTATTTTGGTAAAACGCTGACGATTGTTAAGTGGAAAGATTCGAACGTAGTTATAAGGTTCGAATCGGTTTGTAAATACCCCTTTTTCCGCTTCTTGTCGATCGACGATGATAATTATAATAAAAGGTTAAAGTTATGCAGAAAATGTTGATTTTATTGATACCTACTGGTAATTACACAATATGATGTTAGGTAACTACTGGTAATAAACTGTTATTTAGGTCGCTAAGGGTCGTCTCCTTCGAAGCTCCAAACCAATTAACGCCCTTTTGATGATGTTTTCACGAAGGACCAATGGAAAGATTCTAACGTAGTTTTGATGTTCGAATCGGTTGTAATGCCCCTTTGTCCGCTTCTTTTCGATCGACGATGATAAATATAATAAAAGGTTGAAGTTGTGGAGTAAAATTGTTAATTTTATTGACAGCTACTAGTACTTACACAATGTGATGTTCGTTAGGTAACTACTTATGATAGACTGTACTCAAATGAGCTCAAATCCCCCATTTATAATCTCACAAATAATTCATATCTCAGCACAGAGGTTATTGCTTTCTATCATATCATACCAACAAACTTTGAACTATTTCCTTACATTACAATTTAATCTAGGTCATAGTTGCGACACTTAGTAAGTTCAATTAGAAAATATATTATTCGGCAATTTATTTAGTTGTAGGTAAATTAACTGATTATTAAAATATTATACGATATGGTTTACAATGGCTCTCTTATACACGGTGAAACTATAAAAGATTAAGGGGTTAATTTGTGATTGAACTTATTGGCCACTATATAAAAACCAAACAGACGACCAATAGAAAATATTTAACCACACATAAAATATAAAATAATAATAACAATAATACAATAATTATTACTCGGTTTTGAATTATTATCTCACCCGAGCAGTGCTACCTATAACTTGCTTATTTAGAATTTATGTTTCAGCTAAACTATCTAATTCGCTCATTAAGTGAAACTGATCTAGGAGGGGCTTCCGTTAAAGTACTACTTAAATTTGGTTCTGATAAAGTATGTCTTCGAGGCGCTGGATGAGGTTGGATGCAAGAACCTTGATGCCTTTGTTTTCTGGCTCTCTTGGAGTTTCGAATATCTGACTACCTTCCTTTATTTTCATATGTCACTTAAAAAGTTTAGTGTAAGTTATTGTAATCTACTGCAAGTAGATTCCTTGGGACCAACAACGAGCGCACAATACCACCTCTTCTTTTTCTAGGTTTGTATCTCTTTAACATTTCTTCTCTAATTGCAGAAGTCTCGCATATGCTTGCTGTACTGAGTACCCCTAATACGCTTGTATTAGAATTGAAGAGTATTTTAACTTCAAATATTCCTTCGTTATCCCTTTTTTACGGATCTTTTATAATATTCTTCACACTCATTTTCTTCTAAAGTGAAGTCGTTTCACCCTGTCGTATTTCGGATTAACGCCCGAAAAATAATTTATGACTCTAGTTACAGCCACTCTGTTATGCTTTTCCTTTTCTACCTGCTTTGTGGTACCG